AAAAAAAAAAAAAAAAAAAATTTCCAGTCAGCCGGGAAAATATTTTCTCACCAAAAAGGCGGAAAAACATTTTCATCAAAAACTCGGAAATTGCACACGTGTGGGGAAAATCCGAAAAATATTTTCCGTGGAAAATTTCACCTATCAAACAGCCAAAAAAGTGGAAAGTGAAAAATATTTTCCTACTTCTCCGAAAAATGTGGCCTATCAAACACTTCCTTAGTTAGTTCTTTCTCTAGCAATTTAAGCTTTTAACTAAGCTCCGAAGATTTAACATGGTATCAGTGCAATTAAACATCTAGCCTACTCATTTATGTAAATTGTGCATGTGCTGGGATTTATATTTGGTGAGAAAATGAATCAGACATGCATTGAGTCATGATGAAATTAAATGCATAGACGTGTCACCTTTCAAATATTTAAACTTTTAAATAAAGTGATTTAACAAATTCTGTGCCTTCACGATCTTGTAGATTCAAATGTATAACTTGTATATCAACGTTCACGAATCTATTTCGAGCTCAGTGTAATCTGTTGTTCTGTATCTATGTACACGAATCTTGTTCAAAATTCATTCTTACGAGTTGAGATTAACTTTCAAAAATTGGCAGTGCCGAAAGAAGATCATGGAAATTTTTAGAGAAGAGTTGAAAGAAGAGGAAGAACTCCAAAGGTGAAAATGACAAAAATGACCTAATGGAAGGTTTGATGCAAATGAAAGATGAAGAGGGGAAGCCATTGAGAGACATTGAGGTGCTTGATAATATTACCAGCCTTCTTGTTGCAGGCTATGAATCCACTTCTCTTGCTATTATGTGGGCTTTCCATTATATTGCCAAGTATCCAGATGTCCTAAAGCTGCATGTTTTGCTAAGCATAAACAATTTACTTACAAGTGTGTAAGTTTGTTTAAATATACAACTTTTATTTTTTAAAATTTTCAAAGTTAAAATAAAGAAATTACTTATTGTGAAAGTGATGCATATTTTAGTGTCAAATTAAGTAACTTTTTCACCAGAAAAAAGTAACAATATTGTCATGTTTAGCAATAAAAATTTCTCAAAAGAAGTTTGAGTACTTGCTCTTAAACTTAGCCAAAAATGATAGGACTCGTGCCTGCATCAATTGACTATGACCACCAAATTGTAGGAAGAGCACTTGCCTAATAGCAAGAAACTAAATGGAGATTTTATTACATATGATGAGATCTCATCCTGCAAGTATACTAGTAAGGTATGTACAAATTGAAATTCAATAACTTTCATTTTATTTTCTTATCCATTTGCGAGTTTCTGATTTGTGATTGTTTCTTACTCCAAATATAGGTTGTCGAAAAGATAATTAGATTGGCCAACATTTCAACATGTGTTTTTAGAACCGCTAAAAAGGACGTCCATTACAAAGGTAGAGAAACAACCTCTGTATATACAACTATGGCTAACTGTACGCGCAGAGTTAAAAATAGATGCCTACCAATTTATTAGAATCGACACCATATGCATAGTATAGGGACATAATGTACATTCGATAAGTCAATAGAAGCGAAAAAAAATCAAAATACTAATCCAGTATATAGCAGAGATTAGGGATGTTAAGTGGACGATTTGAACTGAACATTTTCCTGTGTGAGCTGCGAGAGTTCGTCGGCTCATATGTGAACCAGATCGCCAACGGCTTGCCAGTCAGCACCCCATAATGAGTAAAATATGTCATTTCAATAAAAAAATTGTGCGATTCGCCCCCATCAAGGGAAAAGCTTGTGGGGCAAGTCGAGCCACATTTTGATTGAGCGATCAACTTGTCAGACGAGCTGAGCTCGGTGGTAGGCAAGCTACCCCATTTAACACTCCTAGTGTAAATTTTTTTTATATATCTTTCATCTAACTTTCCCCATTTTAGTAATGTAGTGATTGTTGGAAATTTAGTCCTAAAGAATGTGAAATTTTTTTCTTTGACTTGAGATAAAGATCTTTTCTAGATTACTCCACGTTGTAAAGTTAAAAAATTAATCTCATAGAATCTAAATCAGTGATTAATTCCACTAGGTTATCTTCTTTGAATCGCGAACTGTTATCAACCATCTTGATTTTCTTAAATTTTCTCCAAATCTCGAATCTTCTTTAGTATTCTCTAAGTTCAAATTAGACTAGGTGAGTGGGCAAAAAGACTTGACCGGGAATACAAAAAGAAGATGAATGAAGTTGTTGTATTCTGAACATAGTTACTAGAGTTCAAGAAGGCATAGATTATTTTAGTACCTAGGGAACTTGAAACTTAAGTTACGAACTCTTTTAGTAAATGGTCAAACTTATTGTGGCCCAGTTTGAGCCAAATTATTATAGAATGAGAATTAAAAATATAGTTTGAGCCACACAGGAGATAGAAAATTTGAATTTAAATATTGATGTGATGGATAACGGTCATATTTTTCATTTTAATGAGATAATAATGTAGATCAAACGTGGACTATATATGGTCAAATTCGAATTTTTCCTTTTAATAAATTAAAAAAATGGGTTTGACCAATCTAGTCAACCAATTGACTTCCATCAAACTTTGACTAGGTATTATTTGCAACCCTTAAATTTTAATTATAAGTAAGTCCTTGGACTTCATCGGAGCAACTACAGGGACCCAATCGAAAACATATAAATCAAGTTGTAATAATTGGACTCATGTTATCAATCGAATTTGTTTAGTCAATTAAAAGCCCAAGACTAATCTCTCGAAATATATAAAATCACATAGATAATTCTATTTTAATTCGTAAAATTGAATTATCTTGACTTGCTATCTTAACTCTTTACTTGTATTGGACATCAAATAATTAGGTGTCGTTCTCTTTGTCTCTCTCTTGACTCCGCCACCTTCAACCACTGCCCTACTCGACCTAAATCAATACCACCATCACCTTTTTGCACTGCCAAAATCAACACCACCACCACCTTCAACCAGTTCCAAAATCGACCTCAATCAACACCACCTCACCCACCTTCAACCACTGCAGTGTCCGACCTAAATCAATACCACCACTACCACNTGATTGGAGATCGGTAGTGATGGAAATCAATGGATGAAGAGGAGAAGGTTGGGGAAAATAGAAAACGAGCTCGTTTCCCGTGTTTTCATTTCCTCCTTTTTTTGGACAGAAAACGCTCAAAACGGCTTTTTAGCCGTTTTGAGTTTTTAGTACAAAATTTTTTTTTGTTTTCAAAAATTCATTTTCGAAAACGGGAAAGAGAACGCGTTTTCACTGTTTTGAAAAATCGAAAACAGAAAACGGTCCGAAAAAGATAAAGAGAACATGCCCTTAGTGTTTGGCTAAATTGATTTTTTACGTCTATTGACTATTTTCTCACTCAAGTTAACATTTTCTTCAACAGTTCATTTGCAATCAAATCGCAATAACATTTCGGTTATCATTAAATACTGAGCTTAGATTAAAATCGAGTCACAAGAGAATATTTAATTAGATTCTTTTACCATCTGAACCGGACAACAAATTCCAATGCAAATAGTCATCTACTTTGCTTACTTTCGGATCTTGACTTACCGAGGTATTTGATATGATAATTCGATCTCATTTATTAGTATATCAAAGACGAATAAGAACTACTAATTCGTAAACAATTAAAGAAAACTATAAATGCAGTCGTGTGAATTTTATTCTCTCTAGACAGTCAATTCCGGATATACCATGATTATTGGTGTCACTACTCCCGAGATCATCTCGCCATGGTAAAAAAAAAAAATACATACCATTTGGTAGAGTAACTATAAGCTTAACAAAATAGAGTGTCAACCTCTTCTTTTACGATCATGGACAAATACAAATTAGTATTTTCTGTACTAATAATGCAATTTTCTATGAATCGAACGCACTTTCTTTATACACAAGATCAAAATATAATGCAACTCCCTTTTATAGAAATAAATATAAACATATTGTTATTCAATAATATTTGAAATGTTTTATCTTATTACAATAAAATCCTAAACGTAACTTCTGAACATGTCCCAACAGTGCTTCGTATTGATGATTGTTGACACACAAAATGGATAGCCCAATTCAAATGGCTCAAGAAAGGAAATGGCACAAGAGAAGAAGCCCGTTTAGAGAGATCAGGGTA